CCAGCTCGGCAGTTATTGCTGCCCTAACGTATACACCAGAAACGTGGTCGCTACGTAAACGGAATAAAAGATCACTTAGCATTATTGAACGCGCAGTCGAGAGGCCGATGCTATGAGTATCCCGTATCTCTCAAATTAGAGAAAGAATCCAAAGTTCTGTACTGTATTATCAATCAAGGGTCAAGGATGTTGTTCTATGCGTCAGGCTGTAGAAAACAAGGTGGCCCGGACACGTAATGTGCTTCTGCTAGATATGTGTTCTGCCTCATCACTAACACTGTGCTTATTATAGGAAACCAAAATCAAAAATTACATCCTGCCTAAGATGAAAGGATCATTGTGGTGTTGTTTCAGATTAATGAGTTGTCTATTGTCGTTTGCTTGGTCAGTCAAAGAGATAATTACGTCTATTAGATTAATACTCACTACATTAAACACGAAAGTTCATAACAAATTCTCAAGATTGTCACCTTTGGCTTCCATACATTCACGAAATCGCTTTGCTTGCAGGATTATTCAATGACACTCACACACTCTTTTACAGCATTTTTGTCTTAAGTATATGCCAATCGTTTCAAGCGCGCCTACGCTGTTGTATGGAGTAGTCGAGACTTCTTTTAGTATATAGCACACGGAGTAAACCACTCAGTTGAGATCCGCCGAGTTTGACGACCAGAAGTCCTTGCCCCAAATGTTTGAAAACTGCTCTTGACAGATAGCAATCTCTAAGCGGGGCCGAATGGAGCTCGTCATGCTGGGGGCGTAAATCTTTCGGCACTAAAGTGTTGAATAGTTGAAAACTCGAGTTCTTCCAGTAAGATTTGCTAGTGACAGTTGGCAGCGTTGATTTTGATGTTCCTATTGATGAAGACCAACGGCGTCTTTCCGCTGTTGTAAATGCCGGCCAAGACTATCACAGCGGCCTGAAAATGACTGCGGTCAATGATTTTTCGATACCGCGTACTTCTTCTTACTGGCTCTCCTTGAAAAGGTGACTTCAATTCTGGCAATCGTGGAGTGTTTGACCTTGAACATTTTCTCATCTATATAAAGCTCCTCCACGGACCTCCGTCTTTGGGGAATCCCTCCCGGTTAGTCGCGAGGGCACGTGGCGCGTCCCAGGTGGTGGATAGGGGAATAAAACGCGAACCAAAAGCGACCGTGTGCTTCTCAGAGACGCAGGTGGATTCAGAGGACGAGCTCCCTGCTTCTGTAGAGCCGACTTGACAAAAACTCTATTTCTACGAGTCAAGTCGGCCAAAAGACTGCAATCAAGCGGCTGGGAAGTACATGGGAGGCGGTTAGGAGTCGCCTCCAACAAATAAGCTCCTCCCGCTCCTCCGAGAGAGACTGGCAAGCTACTCGTGAGTACCCAGCCCCCACGTTTAGAACCTGGCAAGCTATACGTTGGGTATCGAAAACGCCAAATACAGCAACAAATATGGGCCTCATTCCCCTGACCCCGAAAGAGCCCCTGGTACGGCAGCGCCAGGGAGGACGAGTACGGAGAGGCTGCTAAAATCTCAGGGCCGAACTAGGCTGCCAAGATCGAAACGGGCTAAAATGACGATCTGTACCTACAACGCAAGAACCCTTGCTCACCAATCCGCTGTAGAAGATCTATTGATTCAAGCAAGAAGAATAAGGTACGACGTCATTGGCCTGGCTGAGACGAGAAAGCGCCATCCTTTTCACGCTGTTTATGACACCAGAGAAGAACTGTTCCTTGGTAACATGCGATCGCAGAGGTGTCGGCGGCGTTGGCGTCCTCGTCAAATCGAATTTGACCGTGAACACTGATTCGTTTGAAGCAACTAGCAAGCCGTATCAGACGATTACGGTTGAGACGACGTGGTTCTATGCCGGCTTTGACCATCTTCGTTGCTTACGCACCAACATCAAGCTATGACGAAGACGAAGTCGAAGCGTTCTATATGGACCTCGAAAAATTCTTCAGAGAAGATCATACTTCTTCAAGGTCATTGTCGGAGATTTTAACGCAAAAATTGGACCTAGAAGAACGTCTGAAGAACGTCACATAGGGACCCACGGACTAGAATGGAATGAACAGGGTGAGAGGCTATCTGAGTTTATCATGACGACCCAAACCATCCATGGTAACTCGCAATTCCAAAAGCCTCTTTCTCAGCGATGGACGTGGGAGTCTCCCAATGGAGAGTACCATAACGAAATAGATCACATCATAGTAAATCGAAGGTTTTGCCTGACCGACGTCGCTGTTGTTCCTAAGTTCTACACGGGATCAGACCATCGCCTCCTTCGCGCAACGTTCCGATTTTCGAGGAGAGGAGAGAAAGCCGCTAAATTCAAACAACGAAGTCCCAGAACTACCATAAACTGGGATGTATTCAAATCATTAGTCGGCTCTTGGGAAGATACCGTTGTCGACAACATCGACGAAGAATACGATCGACTCGTTGAATATCTTCACGTTAGCGCTATAAAAGCCGAGAGTCCTAAGGTCACGAAGAGACGCTTGTCTCCGCAGACACTCGAGCTGATACGTCAACGTGGAATCGCACGAGCTGCAGGCAACCGAAACCTTACGTCCGAACTTGCGAAACGCTGCAGAGAAGCGATAAAAGAAGACCTTAAAGAGAGAAGAGCAGCAGTTATGGCAGAAGCTGCAGAAGCTGGGAAGAGCATTCGCAAAGCCCAGCGAGGCTTCGCCAACTATAAGACCAAGATGATTGCACTCCGATACCCTGACGGGACACTTACAGCTTCGAGAAGGGCTATGGAGAAAATCATCCACCAATACTACTCGGATCTCTTCGCTAGCCATGTCCTCTTACCGTCATATAAATTGAAAGAGGACGAATATGTCGTTCCACCGGTCCTCCCTTCCGAAATCCGACATGCTATATCGTCGGTGAAGAACAGAACAACACCCGGTCCAGACAGGATTAGACCAGAACACCTGAAGAACCTGCCGCCAGTTCTCATCAACACCCTGGCTCGGCTCTTCACTCGCTACCTGTCAGAATGCAAGGTCCCTATTCAATGGAAAACCAGCAAGACCGTATTGTTGTTCAAAAAGGGAGACCTTCACGACATAGGCAATTATCGCCCAATCTGCTTGCTGTCCGTTGTCTATAAACTCTTTACTCGAGTCATCCTAAACAGGATTGACAGAACACTGGACGAAGGACAGCCATGCGAACAAGCAGGGTTCCGAAAAGGATTTAGTACCATGGACCACATCCACACGATTACAAGACTCATCGAAGTTTCACGAGAGTACAAACAACCACTCTGTCTCACTTTCATCGATCTGAAGAAAGCCTTGATTCAGCGGAAACAGAAGCGGTTATAGAGGCTCTGGATAACCAGGGCGTCCCTACTCGGTACATAATGATCCTTCGTGAGCTTTGTAAAGATTTCACGACCAAAACATCTCCATTCTACAACAATATCACCATTGACGTAAGAAGAGGGGTTCGACAAGGCGATACAATTTCGCCAAAACTATTCACTGCCGCCCTACAAAACGTCATGCGAACATTAGAATGGGACGAAATGGGAGTGAAAATTGACGGTCGACAATTAAACCATCCTCGCTTTGCTGACGATATCGTTCTCATAACACCAAACATCAGCCAAGCGGAACGAATGTTGACTGATTTCGATAACGCCTGTGGAAAGATTGGTCTTCAACTGAATCTAACGAAAACAATGTTCATGAGGAACGGATGGTTTCTAATGCCCCATTCACGCTCAACGGAACGACAATCTCCGAATGCTCCAGTTACGTCTATCCAGGTCGTGAAAATCAACATGATGAACGACCTAGGTCCAGAGTTGAGCAGGAAGAAACCAGCGGCTTGGGGAACGTTTAAGAGCGTCGAAGATGTAGTGAAGAGGACAAAGAACATCCGACTCCGTGCCCACCTTTTCGACTCGACAATTATCCCTGCCCTAACGTATGCAGCAGAAACCTGGTCGCTACGTAAGCAGGATGAAAGATCACTTGCCGTTATCGAACGCGCAGTCGAAAGGTCGATGCTAGGAGTATCCCGTATCTCGCAAATGAGAGAAAGGATCCGAAGTTCCGACCTACGTCAACGATCGAAAATCAGAGACGCCGTTCTACACGCCAGGATATCGAAAATAAGGTGGGCCGGACACGTGATGCGCTTCAACGGCAACCGATGGACGAGAGCCGTTACCGACTGGATTCCTCGGGACGTCAAGCGCTCTAAAGGAAGACCACTGACCCGTTGGTCCGATTTCTTCACGAAAGCGATGGAAGAAAGATATGATGCTCAGCGAATCCTAGAGCGAGGAGGACCCACTGGGCTACTCTTGCACGCGATAGGGAAAAATGGAAGAGTTGCTGGTACCCGCTCGAGTCACTCGACGATCAACGGGACGACAGGTGATACAGTTGATAAAGCTCCTCAGAGGAACGATCACCAGCGATCAAGCGAATCATTCGACGAACCTTTGCAAGCTGTTCTTATTTCATTTCCTTAATCAGAAAGTGAACATGAGAGATCCTGTAGCTGCGCAGCTTTAGCTTATTTTTGATAATGTTTTGGGTGCTCCGCTCGCTGCTCCTGAGCTTTCCGAGCCATTTTGTGCGTCAAACGCTCCACATTTCGTTGGGCTCGGCATCGAGTTTTCTGAATGTCTTCCGGAGAAGGCAAGATGGTTGGGCGACATTTTGAGAACAGTTCTCAATATTTGCAATTTCTTTGAGACATTTAACGGTTCTGTAGACACATGCTGGTTCAAAAGTGGGCAATTTTAGAAATGCTGACCGCTTTTATTGCAGTCTAGTGCAACTCAACTATTACGACACGTTGTTTTTTACGATCCATACTTAAGAACCCCAAAGTATACAAATAAATGGAACAGATTCTAAACCAAAATTGAGCAACAAATCAACAAACTAAAATCATTTTTATTTGACCGTCTATTGCGGCGTTATGATGTTTCTATAAAACCCAATGATGTAGAGTGGTATGCAAAACGTTTGCGTCAGCCGGGATTCGAACCCAAATCTTACTCTTTCTGGGAGCACGTGCTAAAACTGTTGCACCACCGACGCTCGTTTTGCACTCCACTCTTTCTACGCTACAACGCGTTATCTGTCAACAGCCAGCCGTCTACGGTGTGGCGGGGCCATCATTGTCGACATCAACCCACTTTTGTTGTTGACATATTGGGTTCGATAATCAATCCGAAATCATTTTTATTTGACCGCCTATTGCAATGTTATGATGTTTCTGTAAACCCCATGATGTAGAGTGGTGTGCAAATCAACAAACTTATTAGCATTAATGAAAAAACATGATATTAATGCTTACTAATTTGGATACTTAGATGGTCCGTCTTCACTAGCTGCGCGGATCCCAGCACATGTTCTAAATGGAATATTACAGGTAGTGCATATGATATTCCTTGGTTCCCTGACAGAACCTTGCAAGGGCGTTTTCAGGTCTTCACAATGTCGTTTCCAAGGAATGGATTCCGGCAATGAATCCTTGTCCTGGCTTCCTACTTTTGATTCGGAGGTGATGTTAAGCCGAATTCTAAAGCAGAAGTAGGGAAGAAAATCGATCGACAGCTAACGAAGGATGTCAGGTCCGAAAACCGATACTAACGCTAAAATGAGGAAAAACACAAAATTGACAAAAATTCTTGCGCACCTTGTATATAGTAGTGTAAAAACACCACGGCGTTTCTTTCACCTTACGCGGAATGCAATTTGTACGGCTTGGGTTCCCTGAAATAAGAGGCAAGTAACCGAAAGGCCGTGCTATTGATGAGGGCGAAGGGCTGAAAACACGTGTCTAGCACTCCATAAGTGCCATAACAGACCTCATAAAAGGTTTAAATGTGCTATCACGAATATATTATATATTCCAAGCGGAGTCTCAAAGATTGAGAGTGTTGATATTAGAACTTTTTATTTTGTCGGGAATAAGATAATATTCTGCTTAATTTCATGCTTCGTTTTCAAATTAGCCTGTGAATGAAAGGCTTTCCGCAGGGACTTCACATATTTGTGCGATCGTAAGCTGAAAACTTACAAGACTACCAGATATTTGCAGTATAGACTAAATTTCACCGGCTTCATCGTATCGGACTGAACTAAGAAGGACGATTTTGTGGCAAAAAGTTCCTCACATAGTACTTCATCTAGTACAACATGGAACGGCCTGCAACAAGGTAGCTATAACACAGAACTGTTTATTCAGCTAATCATCTTTTCCAGTATTTAGAAAACAAATTCATAATGAAACACATAATTCTGTTGCATGGGAGTGCTTACGATTTCTCTCATTACAACAGATGAGATATTTTTATGTTTCAAATCACCGACTTCTCGCCAGCTTACTGAGAATAAATGGAATATTCGACATCCCTCGTTATTTCAACAACACCTGTAATTCGGTTCGCGTAGTATAATTAATCTTTCCTCAAAGACTTCTATTATTCTATCACAAACACTTTTATAAAAAGACACAGTCCACAAAGAATATAGTTATGATACAAACTATGGCGATAGATAATAGATTGTCGGACGATTGCATTCATTTTGTCCGTATCGCTGTAACGCACAGCGTCGCTCTTCGGCGCAACTTTTTTTGCTGGTGTTTGTAAAATCCATGAAGTAATCTCTCATTGATAAGATCGTTAGAGTGGCGTCTCCTGGCTGTCTACCTCTTCACAGCTCCATTGAGAGTCCCTTGATTTTCGTTTAGTTTGAGGTTGCAGCAGTCAGCAAGTGTTAAAAATAATTTTAAGGCATCCTATGCTGCGCAAGTGCACAAGTCTGTGATCTGAAAAGAGCTCTGCTGGTGTCTATTAGTGAAAAATCGAAGTAGTTCAAAATATCGAGTTCAGTTAGTTTGAAGATCGAGCAATGTATATGTGAAAGAGTTGTGTTGGCAAAAAAATGCCAAATTTGAAGAATGAAATAGAGGATGGATTGTGTTCATTACCTATCACGCAAAGGCGATTTTTTCATATTTTTAGACGATTGTCAAAAGAAATTTGCTTGAAAAGATCTTTCAATAAAAAGTTTGTAACCACTACGCGATCAAGAAGCGACTTTACCAAGTGAGATGTTTAACAACAAGTTTTGCGTCTGCACGCCGTGGAGAAGTTGAGAAGAATTGACAGCGCTGCACGAACAGCCTTTATTAGTGGCACAGAACCTTTGAGAGAGTGAAAGCGTCAAATCTGCGTTGCCCTTGCCTTCTTCAGAATTTGCACCCTTTTACACATTTTAGACATATCAGGGCTTCCAGATGATAGACGCACTCTTGCTCCTCACGCCAACACTTCTTCCTCAATTCAAGTGTTTTTCTACAATTATTTCCAAATACTATTTCGAATTCCATTCCTCGGATTGCTGCAATATTGGGGCGATCATGCTTGTCGTTCTTGAACAACTCAAAGAAGTTCCGTAGAAATCCTCTTTTTCGCTATCAGTCGACCTCACCATTAAATGATGACATATCACATAACATGCTAACATGTTTTGGGCCTATTCTTATGAAGTTAGATATGGACACTTATGTAGTACTAGACGGGCGCCTTTTTCGTCCTTCGAAACTCCTCAGTAGCGCAGTCTCCGTCGGTTCGGCCAATCCCTTGATTCCTTGATGCCCGATCCCTTAACCCTTATAAAAATAAAGGACGCTGCATAAATAATAATACATAAATAAACCGACGCTGCATGGTAGACCACAGCAAGTCAGGTGACAAGATTCCACAACAGTGCAGTGACCACAGTTGAGTGTTTTAGGACTGTTAGATTGCGACTGTGTCTAGTGTCTAGTTTCTAGCACTGTATAAGGCCCATATTACACCTCATAACAATAAGCTCAAACATGTTATCACGTTATCAGACTATCAGAATTGAGGGAGGTCTATATAAACGGTCCAGTGTAGCTGACGAGCTGTGTAGAGTGCTTTTCAATTTAAGACGTTATAAATTAGAATTTCCCAGAACACCAAACATGGGATTCAAAAATTTCAAATTGTATCGCAAAGCAGACGAGCGCATGTGGCGCAGTGGTTAGAGGTGCTCTGCGTCGCACACGAGGTCAATGGTTCGATCTCGCGCTCATGGCTCACCAAGCCATCCATCCTCCGGGGTCGGTAAATTGGTACCAGACAGGTCTCAGACTTGTCTGGGAGGATAAGCAGCACTGACTCGGTTCAGCGGGAGGCCACCGCGAGTCATTGTAAAGGCCAGATATGCATTCAATCACCTCAAACGAAGTTAAAAATTGAAGTCGAATGCATGGCGCATCCCTCAGGGATTGATCAACGCCGAGAGCTTTATCCTTTTATCCTTATCGCAAAGCAGCACCTATGAACAAAAACAATGCATTAGGGACAATCACCTTTTTTATTGAATGATCATCTGACTGTTCATCTGTTTTCGTTATCGAAATATAAGCTTTGAAGAAATAAAGCGGAAGAAATGGATTTTTAGAATCCACAAGTTCACAACATGACTGTAATGAAGCAAGAAAACTTTTATCTCGACGAGAAAATAGAATCTTTTTTATTGAAAGTATCAAAATTTTCTATGGGCCGAAATTGACCAAATTAGAAATAAAAGCGACGATCATATTCTTTTCCCTTAACTCCCGTGTAGAACACGCTGCTGCGTGTGCGGTTGTGTAAATTAATCTAGGCAATTTGTGCTTACGAATTTCTTTCTTTTATTAAATAAGCAAATAACAGCGCAAATTTTTCCGTACTGCTTATTATAGAATTATTCAATTTGTAGACGTTTATGCTTTTGACATTGTAGCGTTTTTCGTAGCTTTTCTGCGATGGAATGAAAACACAGACTTTCATTGAAGGTTTGTTGTTCTGTTGGATAAAAGCAACTCATAGATGAATTGTTTCAGCTGTAGGGCATACATTTAGCACATTTTACATAGCTTACACGTTTCGCGTGCATTGAAGAATGGAGCGCGAGAAGATTGCAACAGTTCATGAATAGCAGTCGAGCATTTGGCCTAGAAATGTGCAGTATTCTGTTGCTGAAGGCGCGATTTTTGTACAAAGAATCTAGAAATGACTTATTTCAGTTTACTGGAGAAGGTGGCACCAACAAACGAATATGAACTCGCAAGAGCAGGCTTGATAGGTCTTTTTGCTGGAACCTTTATGATAATTATGCTTGAAATTCTCACAATGTTTCATTAGAATCCATTACAAATTTTTCTCAACACTGTATTTATCATGTGGAAATCTTCCAATAAATTTATGGGATGATACTGAACAGAAGTTAGAATGATAACTATGAAGGCCGGCAATTCATTGACCTTGACATTCTTCGATAATCAGCAGTTTATCACTATTAGAAAGATGTGACGATGTTGTATAAAAATTTAAAATGATATCTAACGTTCCAACAGTATGACCTTCTTTAGAGCCTGCAAAGTAAATTGCCTACAACCCAATCAGCTCAGCAAATCCATAACTTCGACAGGAGACAATTCTGATCTAAGTTTTGCCTCTGTCTTTGATAGAATATGATCGAATCAAGAAATGGTGTTGGATGATTGTTCTGTTAAAGTAATGGATGTGTTTGGAGAATGGGTGGCCGAAAACTTAATCTTTCCAGATTCCGGAGAAGGAGAAACTGCCGAAACATCAGCTGCCACAGTGAGTTTGTACTATAACAAGCTTGCGTCTGGGTAAGAAACACAAAACTGTGATTAAAATGATATGTTCAATTAGTGGATGTTTTTGGTGTCCTTATCCGTTGTGACACAAGCAGGTATAGCTTGGGACAAATGAGAACGAATTGCGTATGAATCTCCTCATATTTTGGTCACGTCCTTTCTTCTTACCTGCTTTTGGTAAACGAGGTTTTATGAGTTATCTAATTTTTTCATAAAGGTCCACTCTATGACTGTGCTTGAGGCAGTGATTTTTATGTGACAAAAGTTATGCCAGCCGTTATGACTTCGTCCACTCTATCGTTGGTGGCTGTACCATTAAGGAATGTTTCCAACTCCATGAGCAATTTATTACAAGCATCGCATTGTGGCAAAGAGACTCCAGATGCCT